ATCAAAATTAATCTCTCTACTCAGTATCTTTTATTTTACGGATTTTGAGGCTTATCAAAAAAACCTCGTTACCAAGATTCTGTGCCATTTTTCAAGCTGTTAGAATATTTTTTATCACCGTTTACCGGTGTGTGTGAATACATTCAGAGAGATTCTACGAAGGAGGCCGCCCTTGCTTTTCTTGAGTTTCTGAATTCTATCATTAGCCTCAACATCTCTGCAATTATCCATATCTGGTTATTAACATGTTATTTCTACACTCCTCTTCTCCTCCCCTACCCCCACAGCCTCTGAATTGGAAGCTGGGAGACTTTGAGATTCTTAAAAGTGATCATTATTTTAATAGCAGCCCCGGGTTTGTGACAGAGGTGACAGGATCTGTTTCTGTGGCTGCATTGTCCTAATTATATTCCTAATGGATCACAAGTTTTGGGATAAAGCGATGTTACATATTGTAGTGTCTTCAGGGCAGCATTTTATGGTACACGGGGAAACATCTCAATATAACATGTGTAGCCAATGTATTTACTGTCATTTGTTACTCAAGCAGCCTGTGTGCCTCTTTCAGCTCCCTGACCCACATTTCATCCACGCTCTGCTGTTTTTCTCCTGCAGGGTTATTTCCTGAATAAAGTCCAGAGCTTATGAGTCCCACAGCAGAGAGCTCTGTTCTGACCTCCCTGAACAGGCCGTTTCACCTGCTGGGCGAGTGTTTTTCTGCTTCCTAGTCAATCTGTTAAGATTTTAGCGGGAGATTTTTGGATACCTTTTCCCAAAACATATGGGAGATTGTAATTACTTTGGCCTGGGACCCTTTTAGAATTCAGAGAGCAAGGAAGAGGTGCAAATCTTCTGTTCATAAATAACCCAATCTGTGGGCATTTTAAAAGGCATTCTGTGCAGCAGGAGAATTTATGTGCCACATTTCACCCTTGACACACTTTCCAAATGAATTGTTCAAAGAGAAGTTATATTAGGACAAATAGAAATGACGACCAAGACCAGATGTGGATTTTTAGTTAATATTTATGCAACACCCACAGGGAAGATGGTATTGCACAATAAACTAAAAACGTCTTAGGCAAATAAGGAAATCTTTACCCTGAGGAGCTGGCACTGCGAAGGTATGAATTATACAACAAAGGATTGGGAATGCAGAACAAATGTAGGGTAGGTCGGGGCAGCTATAAAAAAAGAATTCATTGAGGAAGTGGTGAGGTAGCAGATGTATGGAATCTACTTCGGGAAAATAAGGGCTTAGCACTTTTTTGGCCCGTCTTGCGTCTAAGGCAGAAAGCTCAAGCCTTCCAGCCTAATTTCCTTCATTTGTGGAGAGCAACAGTAGCTTTAAAGAGAATATATATATATATATATATATATATATATATATATATATATATAT